CTATTGGTTGGGTTCCCCCCCCCCCCCCTGCCACTCCTCTTTCCCTTATTCCTCTTTCTCCACCTTTTCTTCCCCACCTTACACCTTCTCCCTGACAGACATCCAGCCCCTAGTAAGACTTAAGGCACTATGGCACTTAGCTCTGAAGTGACACGACCCTGTCTTCCTTCCGCCTGCTGGTGGGTAACCAGTGCCTTCCCTGTAACGGTAATGCTGCAGAACTGCAACCTTTTGTACCTATTTTTTGGGGGGTGGGGGCGGGGTGGGGGTGGGAGAGGAGGTAGGTGGGGATGAAATACCCCTAACCCAACAAGCCTCCAGCCAGAGCGCCAGCTATTTTGCATTTGAAGGAGTTGACTTCCATATTCATTGAGCTTTTAAAAAGATCACCACCTCAAGATGGTTAAAATCCATTGACATTTGCACTTTCAGACATGACAAGTCTCTCGGAGCTGCTGAGGTGACTGGCCTCTGGCCTTTCCACTTACGTCTCCTTTCTTCCTGTCCCCACTTCCTCCCCACCTGCCTGGGTCTGGAGTTACTTTCATAGCATTTCTCACTCTTGGCTTCTTTTTTTCCCCTGATGGTCAAGTCTGTTTATGTTTCAATATTTTTTAACTGGGGTGTCTTTTAACAAACGATCCTTAGGCCTAAAATAAGAAAAGAAAAAAAAAGCAAAAACTAAATGTTATTTTTATACCATAACTTGAGTCTATTGCCAAAATCTGGAAATCCCTCCCATGCCCAATGAGTTTACATCCCAGAAACATTGAGCCGTCAGAAGGAACTATGTACCTGACTTGTTCTTTGGCCTGGCTCTGTAGGGGGTGGTTATCTCCCCAAGGTGGGGCTCAGTCTCCACCTTTCCTCTGTGCAGATTAATATCTTTCTCTTTGCTGCAGGCACCCCTTCTGCACTGCCCTGCACTCTTTTCTGCAAGTGCATCTTCCCTTCCTCTGGACTGTCCTCTGACACTTTGGCTTATCCCAGATTTCAGTGTGTCCTGTGGATAGGCTGGGGAATTTTGCTGCTCCCTTTTGCTTCTGTTTACACAAATGAATTTTTCCTGATTTCCCACTAGGGCATGTGAGTGGGTGGCATGGACTTTTTTTTTTTTTTTTCCTGTCTTCCTGGGTAGAGATGGGGTTTGGCTGTGTTGCAGAACTGGAAAAGTAGGGGGTTCTGGCTTGGGGCCTGTTGGCCTTGAAGCAAGGCTTCCTCATTTCTTGACTGTTCATTTTTTCCTGTCCCACTGCTTGGGATGAGGAGTTGCAGCTTCAGTGTGGAAATTCCTCTTTTTGAGAAGCCTGGGCTTGGGCTTGCCCCAATCTGGTGATGAAGCCATGACACTTTAGACCTAGCTCAGGCTTGGAGGCCAGCCAGAGGAAGGCCGGTCTGAATATGGGCGTATGAAGTTAGAGCTACCATTTCCCCTCCCCAGCAGCCTTTGTACAGACCCAGATTTGCTATGCAAAACAGTCTATCCCAGGTTCTGTTCTGGTTGGCTACTTTGTTCAGCAACTTCACAAAACGTAGCACAAACATTGATTATGGAGAAGGCATCAGGACTGTTGAGTAACTCTTCCTTTACTTCTTTCCTGCTGGCTACAGTGTGGGGTGCCCCATGGGCACAGCCCAGCTGAAGAACAGAATGGAGGGCTCTGGGAGGAGGCAGCTCACTGGAGAGCCTACATTCCTTACACAAGTGCCTAAAGAGAGTGATGCCAACACTCCATCTGCCCTGTCCATCACCTTCATATACTGTCTGTTTTGTGTTCAGTCACCCTTTGGGGAGGGGAGTTCTCTTGGGACAGTGGGCTCTGAGTGTTCTCTTCTTGGGTATGTTTTGGGGCTGGGATCAGGGCAGTATTCCTGGAGGGTCCAGTCATTCACCAGCATTTTGCAAATGTCCATTGAGAGCTGGTGGCAGCCACCTACTCTAGCAGCAAGTTTGTGTTCTCTCCCTTTTCTCTTTGCGTCACTCTCTCCAGTTGGGTTTTGAGCTGAGGCTTGAAATGCATTTTCTAGCCCTTTGGCATTGTACATGCCATTTAAGAAATAAAAGCAAAAGAAACAGCTTTGGCAATGGCAAGAATATGACATCTTGCTGTGATTTTCTTTATTTCGTTTTATCTTTGAAACTTGAAAAACACCCTTGACCTTGAGGATTATTCTTGTTTGAAAGGTGGTGCATGCAGATTGAGAAGTGGTGTTGGCAACAAGCTTTGGCTTTCTTTGATTTCGTTAAAGTGGTGCTTCTTACTTAGGCTCTGAAGAAGCTCTGGGGAGACCCCAGCCTCATCCTCTTAGAGAAGTCTCCTGCTCCCTGTTCCACTC